AAATACTTCACACGTGCACCGTCTGTGAAGGAAAGATGACCATTTTATAAAATAAGCCTGGACAAAGAATAACTTTTTTGCCTTCTGAATAAGGGAAGAAAATATTGATTTGCTGCAAAAGTTAGTCTGCTGTGGGGAAAAAAAAAAAAGCAGGAAACTGGTAATAACAGATCTCTTTTTTCCCCTTTCCTGTATATGCATGCTGTACATCGTATCTCCTGATAGAGAGCAGGACATTTATCAGGAGGTGGCAAAGGGTGAGGCTATGGTTGCGTGTTTGACATCTGGTCCCGCACATCAGGCAAATACACTCAGCTCTAGGTCGGGCTGGACAAGTGAGCCCCATGGGAGAGGCTGTACAGACAAAAGAGCCCTCGAGCCACTCTGCTGCTGCATGTGGCACCAACCACATTGTGGGGCAGTATGAGCAAAGGCCAGACAGGTAAGTCCTACTTTCACAGTGAGAATTTTGCCATACCTGCACCTGTATCACTAGGTAAAATGGGACTTTACATAGCACATCATAAAGCAGCTCTAGGYTAGCAGGAGACAGTCTCTTGCCACCTCCTACTGTGGTAAGATCTATTCAGACATCACTTATGTACGAGCATTAAGTGGAAGCACGGAAGGAGCAGATCAATATCTACACAGACTGGTACGAATGGACCACCTGGGAACCAAGTACTCTTGAATCCTTTGCTTGACCACAGTTCACCTCCATTCTCAAAAAACATAGGCCCTTGTACACCAATCACTCCCCTACCACAAGAAAAAGTGGAGGAAATAWCATTTGTATGGGGTACTGCTGCAGTTCATACTAGCCTTTCTAAGATAAGAGCTGAAACCACCTTTCCTGTATTTAATCCTCTCCTATTCCATTCTGCTAATGAAATCCGTAGATACAAGTCTACATCAATGATGATCATAGCTTGATTCCAGCATTTTTGAGACTTGGATATTAGGAAGTATCTCATCTTGGGGAGCATGATCTCCACCTTTAAAGATSCCAGGCTCTTATTGCTTGATCATCAGCTGGCTTCTCTGCATGAATTCATTTTGCACATTGCCTGCACACTACAAGATGCTACGGAGGTGCAGCTTTACAACGATGCCAGCAGCAGCATAATAGTTAGGCTTTAAAAGTTACATTACACTGATTTAGGTACATGGTTCAAACCTTGTCTATTGGCACTGCTGGAAGGGATGAGACGTTTAGCCCATGCAGACATTTGCACGAATGCAAGTGTGGGAGGGCACTAGAAGAAAAGAGAGCTCTGCAGATCAAATCAGACGTTTCTAAAGTGGATCATTTCCAGCAGCCCTAAATCACAGCATGTCTACCAGTGAATCCAGGCACAGGTAAGATTTATAATCCTGAACCAAAAGTGAGAAGTCAAATTTCTGAAAGTGGCATTGGGAAGGCTGTAGGACTACTTGGTCCTTCTGGAGTTTTTCAAACTGCTTTTCAAGTTGCACTCATAGCTGCTCCTCCTTAAGGGTCTGGCATAATCTTACAAGAAACTAGAATCTTCTAGGAAAAGTCCTGCTTTTCCCTATAAGATGATCCTGAAGTAATGGAGTCTAAATTCCTCCTGCTTTCCTGCTCCCTGAGCTCTAGTGTTCAGTTCACTTGGGAAACGCTCACTTTTTCTGCAAAAGCCTCACTATATTTAATACTGTTACAGAGTTAGCAGGAGAACAAGGAAATTGTTTCCATTTAGGTATGGAAAGAGTTCATCATCTGGTCTGCAAAATTTCTAACACTGGCATAGACTGGTGAAATACAAGGATCTTGATTTGGTTTTGATCCTATTTCCAGTCCTTGAAGCTGGTMGCAAAAACAAAACAAAACAGAAAACACATATTAAGCACACACGCAAACATATTTTTTACCTGAAAATTCAATAATCTTGATGTGGAGTGCTTGATCTGGAGTGATTTTACTGCTCTTCCATACTTGCTCATTCACTGTGGCTGGACACCACTGCAGCCGTTTGCCCCATGCTGTGTCGTGGCTGGGTAACCTCTACACCAGCCTACGTGGCTGAAAAGGGCCCTGCAATGCCCAAGCAGGACGGCGAGCTGAGTCTATGTCAGGGGAGCCTTAACCAGAGRTGACTGAGACTAGCAAGACATTCACAAAGCAAACAGGCTCAAGAAGCTGAGTGGGTTATTACTATTAGCATTATCATTATTACCACCATTATTATTATTATGTTAGTCCACATAGGAATGCAATAGTTCTTGTCTTCAGTGCTCCTCACTGTTTCTCCGCACCACTGAACTCTGCTAGCAAGTCCCTTAGCAAAGAGTAATAGTATCTACTCCTGTATCAGCAAATGCAGATAGGATTCACATGCCTCCCTCTGATATCTGAAAGATTTGGCTCCCCACGGCTCACTCTCCTGCTAGAGTGGTGGTGGAGGTGCTAGGGCCCATCTCATGAAAACTCACTCAGAGCTTCCAGTTTCTTCCCAGTGACTCTACACAGAATTGAAGAATGCTATGTCAGAATTAAATATCTTACTTCTAGCCATCTAAAGCTAGATGAGATTAACCTTGCCATGTCTATCACAATGGAGACTTTCTCCATGGCCTACAGACTTTGGATTCATTTCTAGCCCATTGTGACAGACTGACAGTGAAGTTCTTTACCATGGTTTGGAGAACACACTATATAGTGGTTTTATAGACTTAAATGCCAAGCAGTGATGCATTGCCCAGTGGAGTGTCATATTAGAATCATAAATCATAATCTTCCAGAAGATTATGAATGCCAGACATGTGAATAAGCTGATTTGGTATCCATGGTAGTTTGGCATGTCTCACATCTTTGTCTTCTTCCCAAAATAGATTAGCTCTCAAACATTACTCAGCACTTGGAGGCCTGCCACGACACAAAACACAGTTGAGAAAACACTGAAAATGTGTCTCCCAGTGCAAAGAAATATTGAGATAAACTTCATCAGCTTTGTTCAGTCTGAAAGAGAATCCCCGTCTATGCTAGTGTAACAAGGCTGCACGAAGCTTTTTGGCCGATGGCAATTTAGGTGCAGACTTTATCTCATGCACTGGACCTCAACTGGGATGAAATCTAAGCATGAAGCTGCTCAGCTACAGATCAGAGAACTGTACAGATCTACAAGTACCATTGTGCTGCAGGGTGGAAGGGAGTACAGGAAATCTCTCTGGAGRTATTTACAGAAACAGCAAAATGATATGGGGCACGAGCCTATAGACAGAGCTCCTAAGTCACCTGCACATCCAAAGTCCTTCAATATACAGCACAAATAGGCAATCCAGTTTGATCGCAGACAAACACAAATCTACACATTTACACAAGCAAATATGGTGTTTTGCCTGCACAGTGTGTGTACACAGTAATCAGTTGCATCAGTCATGTGGGCCTTGTGAGATTATCATTAAGAAGTTAAACGTTAATGACATTGTGATACTGTTTAATTAGGATGTGGATTTACCGGTGGCTTAAAAGTAAATTCAAAGGTGAATATGTTATTTTAACATCAGAAACAGCCCAGATATTTCATTTTCTTCCAATAGTAAAAACCTTGTATTCACTTTGGGAAGCACCACCCTATCTGGTAACTGCCATGAGAGGTGGTAGATAAGCAGTGWGGACTTCTGCTTTCCATTCTCCCATCCTCTTAACGATGGGGAATGTRCAGTGCGGGATTCCCAACAAAGCCAGCGGGAGATACGTCCCACAAGCCCATCTGTGGAAGAAGAGAGCCCCTGTTGAAGAAGAAAAGTTAAAGGAGAAAAGCAGAATTTATTTTGATCTGAGAAGGAACTGGTGAAAGTGTATTATACAGCAAACTCATTAAACAACAACTAAATCGTCTGAGGCAAAGCAGCAGATTGTAAAGGCCTGTTCCCTTACCCACGTGCTCCTTGAAGGCTATCAGGACACTCTGTAGAGCATGTCTCACCTGGGGAAGACATACTATCTCCCTCTTAACACACTGTCGGGCCTAAGGTGATACGGCACGACTGTAAGACCCCTTTTTAGTGGGGGGAGGAGGAGACCTTGTGTGAAATGCCATCCAAGAGTCCTTCCTTGAACCATTTCAGCTCCCAGCCCACTTGAAGGTTTATGGTGGTTTCCTCTGCTCTCCTTCCACCATTGCTGTGCCAGGCTGTAATTGCAGGGTATGGCATTACAAGTCCCACGGGTGCTGCCTCAGCCTTAGTAAACTTTATTTAAGCACACACAGACATACACAGACAATATACATATATATATATATATATTTCTTCTCTGACAATTCTACAGGACCGACACTGCTTTGGATGACACTTTTGGAGAATTTGAAAAAGTGCAGAAAATATATGAAAAGAAAAGGTCTTTTAATAACGTGTGAGTCGTGGTCATCCACAGAAACAACACAGGTGCATTCAACCAGGCGGGCACATGGACAAATCTCCACATACAGTACATTGTGTCTATATACGTATCTCCACATACATTGGGTCTATATAAATGTACAACAGTCTTGTAAGTCAGCAGGAGACAAAACCAGGTAAGTACTGGCACGGCACATGCTTGCACTCCCAGTAATACAACCCACTGCCAGCGAACCGGGGTGACTCCATCAGAGCGTGGAGGTCAACAGAAAGCTGTTCCAAATATATAATCACTGTACACTATAAAAACTCACTAAATAGGCAACAACATCTTAAAATGAACATTCATTGGGGGGGTTCTGGTGACCAGCTACTTTGAGGTAGATCTCATAGCTTTGGTGTCACCACAACTCCTGGAATATATATGGTTACTTATCTAATATAGCTACATCTGTCTCTCAACATATATTATATATACAGTACATATACACAGAACATACACAGAGCAGTATATGTATATTTTTTGTGTTATCATGTTTGTACATTATATCACAGATTATATGAACACATAAAATATATGTTTTTTGGACCTAAAAAGAAATGATTTTATAAAATATCCGTAATACCCCCCAAAAGACCAGAAATCAAACAAAATATATCCAAAACCCCACTCTTGACTTGTAACTGCCTACCTTTGGACAGTATTACACTCCTCCTCCCTTCCTTTTTAAGTACAGTAGCACAATGGCAGTTTGCATCCATGCACCCAGAAAAACGCAAAGCAATATAAATTGTTGAACTACAAAGTCAACGTGGGGTCTGGAGCCTGACTTTCCCACTCTACACCCTACCACTGTCTCCCTTGCTAGGATTTAAAAGATTCTGGCAGTAGCATTTTACCTGCAGTGTTAGTTGCTAGACTGAATCTACTGACTGCAGTTCAATACTGTTAGCTTATAGGACTTAGAACCCAGCTTCTTAGTTATAGCCTTTTATTTAAAACAATCTTTTTGATTTAGCAAAAAATTGTTTCCACTGTACCCTTCGTGTGTCCTCTTCCTAATGTGACAAACCCGGAGGAGATGAAATTATGGAGATCTGGCCCTCCACTTCGATAAATATCCTTTCCATAGTGACCTGTAAAGAAAAAGAAATCAAAGAAGCCTTTATTCACTGTACCCATATTCTGGGCAGCCCCCCTAAGTTCTCTGTATTTTGAGTACCAGGGCACATGGTTGTATTATTAAAGGCAAGCACAGGGAATAATATAGCATAACAGCTATAGCAACAGCAAAGCCTAATTGCTGCAGAGGCAGAGACTTATGAAGGAGAATAATTGCAGTGTTTGACACTGCCAAGGCATGAAAAGACTCCGATAGGGGAACCAATAAAGCACCACCCAAATCTACCAAACTCGGGGGAATTTGAGCATCTCTGCTTCATTTTGCAAACAGCAGTCCTTCCCAAGGAATGGTATCACCTTCAAGATTAAAGAACTAAGCTGTAAATCAAAAGAGATGAAGCTCTGATTCTTTCTAATTCCAATGTGCAACTCAAGCCCTGTCGCAGGCATTTTCACATCAGCACAAAAGCAGAAGTGCAAATCTCTCTCTTGTCCAGACTGGGTGCAAGCCTTATGAACAGCTAACACCAGACTTCCTCCTTTAACTTTCATTTGCCCTGCTCYATGGATGGTATCCCCAGAAGATTCCTTAAGTGTGACAGTGTTCTGCAGAACACATCTTAGGAGCTTTTTCGGTTCACAAAAACACAGTAATAGCAACTGCTCAGGGGACTCTCAAGTTTTTAAAACCSAAAGAGGTCTTACACCTCCCTGCTACCATGCAAAGCTCTGAAATGAGGACATAGATAATTTTTCTGATACTCTTTATCATCTCCTCCCTTTTTCATGTTGTTAATTTTTCTACTCCTTTTATTCCAGAAAGAGGCAAAGATAAGATAAGTTCTGGGGGAGGTGCTGCCTCAGGGGCTGGGAATGCAACTTCTTCTTTATTTGTTCTCCATCTCYTCGGTACCTTTCTGCATAAGTCAACGATGCCTCGCTGTTCTTCTGAACACCGTGTCAGCTGTGCATATGAGYGGGAACTCTCCTCCTCATCATCTTAAGGTGACCATCCCCTCAGGGTGCATGTCCCAAAACAGCCACGATTCTGCCTAGGAGCAGAGCTGGRCAGGCTCCAAACCCCGCTACCCACTGGGGTAGGATGCCAGCAGATGAAGGACTGACCAGGAAGGCTTAACCCAGAATTTGCCATTTTTGCAAGCACGCTTGAAAATCCTTGCAGGGGCCTCATATATCGCCGAGAAGAGATTACAAAGCTTATGAAAAATGCTCATACCTATGTAACATTAAAAGCATCCTATTCGCTTCCCTCACACATTTTTGCTGGTCAAGGCCAATGAAGGGCTTCCTGAAAACCTTTTGAAAGACACATAAATTGCTCATCCAAGTTTGGCAATTCTAACAGCAAAATTGTTTTCTTCTCCCATTTATAGCAATGCAAGGTGGTAGCAAACACCTTCAAAAATGGGACCTCATCCACTCATAAAATGACTGAGGAAAATGCTTCCACAACAGAAGAAGAAGGATTTTCTGCTTCCATAGGAGAGAACATGGTCTCTTGCTCTCGTCTGGCTAGGCAGCACTTGCGGTCCCAGGCTGCTGAGTTTTTAGGAGAGGACGGCAGATCTTTGTCTCTAACTCCCTGAAAGCTTTTCTTGCCTCGTGGGGTATTTCCTTCTATCCTGAAAAGGCTGCAGGARTAGCTGTGCATGCAATACCCAATGCACTCCCTTTTTCCATATCACTTTTCTAAAATGTGCTAGACTTTTTTCTTTCTTTGCTTCTATACCATCAATTCCTACGCTTTCAGAACCAGGTAATACACTATCAGTGGCACAACKTTACCTCTTAAGCAAAGATAAAAGAGACACACAAATATGTGCTATAACTTCTAGCTGAAGTCAGGGTTTTCTCTCATATATCCTTTTGGAGGATCGGTTTAAGTCAGAGATCAGCAAAGAGAAGAATATAAAAAGCAAAAATTTACTGGCAGAGTGAAGATTGTTCATCAGTCATTTGCTCTCTGAACCTTGCTCTGCCCTTCTCATAGTACATAATAGTTGAATTAAGAGATTCTTGTGATAACAACCAATTAGCATTTGAACAGGAATCACGTTTCCCCATGAGAAACTTGCATTTCTGCAGTTCAAGTAGCATGATTTTTTTTTCCTTTTTTTTTTTTTAAAAAAAGAAGATACATTCTGGGATGCTATGCCTGCTTTACACAGTTCTTTATTCCTACTCACTTGTGATCATTTTTCTTGGCTTCCCCGTGTAAAAAACCTGTAATACAGTTTTCACTTTTGYGAGTGCCTGGAGGGGAGCTGGTGGGCTACGTACAGGTGCTGTTATTCAAACAGACTTTTTTTATAATCTCTTCTTGACTGAGATTTTCGCACTGAAACTGCATGTTCTCCCTGTTCTTTTCCTTCTATTCACCTCTAGAGCTAAAGGAGCTCAAGTGCAGGGAGATCGGGATGCAGAGATGTGGGAGATGCATGCAGGGCTATGCAAAACCAGAGGATATGCCCGTTTCACTCTTAGTTAGGGCTGTTTTCCTCCTGCCTGCCTTTAATCGTGTGCTCTGATCTCATSGCTCCTCCACAGAGGGTGGACAGGGGACTGGCTCCAACAAAAGAGGATTTGCCCATGAGTTGAACAGAGATTAATTGCTTAGTAGATGCCTGCCCTATGGGCTACAAAGAAGCTCATGGAATTTCACCCAGATGCTTTAATTTAACAGGCTGAATCTAGATGTTCTTCACTGTCTGCTAGTGAGATCTAAAAATGTCCTAATTCATTAAAAACACTGTCAATGGACTAAGTGACATTCTTTCTGAGATATTTGAGCTTTTATTTCTAGCTAACAACCAACCAAATAAACCTTGTCACTGCAAACAGAAGGGATCTCTTCAAGGTGACCCTGAGCTTTTCCTGGTGCTGGAGACCACAGCATAACTAGGGTGGTACATACACAGCTATAGGGCTGCACTGTGGGGCACAAAGTGGAAGCATGAAGCTGTTGTGRAGCCCTAGGTAGCTAGAAATAAGGATACCCCTCAGGAATATCCACAATGGGAAGAGCACAAGGAGAGTCGGACTGCTACCACATAGTTGCTGTCTACAGGAATCACTGACATTGCTCACCATCCTTCCCCAGCATCAGAGAAAAATAGTCTTTTCCTATTGTACTTCCCTGGAATCACGCATGGATATTTCAGAGGTGGTTGGGGAACTGAAACCCAGGACCTAGAGGCAGCACCAGAGGCCAAAGAGAAGTCAGATAAAACAACGGTAGCAACAGATTGGCATCATGACCAAGACCAGGCACCTCAGCCCTGCATATTCGTGTCCTCAGGCTCCCAGTATGCCCTTTCCCTCTCTTGCATCTCCAACTCTGGGTGAAATTAGCTGTTGTCTGCCACCTTTTCATATCCAGATGTACTATAYGGCCTCCAAGTGTTAACCCTCTCTGAGAACTGATGATATCCGTACGTTCATAACCACAGTGATCATCTCMCCAGCATCCCAGCAAGCTAATAGTGGTCAAGTCCTTTCTATTTGCCCTTGCTCCTCTGCCAATGGAGCTACTCTGCCTGCAAAACAGTGATCTGTGAATGAAGCGATGTACAACTGCCAGGTTTCATCACGACTGAGCCATACAGCACATCCAAAGCAAAGCAACTACCCACCTACCTGRTTTCAAGACACAGAACATGCTATCTTGTCGTACACAATTTCCCCAGAGATTTTGCATCTTTAAGTCTGGTGTTAGCATAAAATTTAAAATGTTGTTTCAGACCACTGTGTCTTAGCCTCTAGTATAGACTCCCTCCTGCTTTCTCACTCTCTGTTCTTGCTTTGGCTTGCATTTGTGTGCTGTAATGCTTGCACACTCCTGGATGCACACAGCCTAACAATATTTTTCATTAAAAGAAATAGGCAGGAGTTCAGGAAGTCTGTATGCTACCAAAGCAGGGGAACATTAGTACTCATGCTAGTTAAATTTTCCAGAATGCATTAAAATAAGGAGAATATGATATATTTTTTTCCTCTCTCTCTTATTTCATTAAAAGATACAGCAGGGGCAGAGAGTGGATGAGTGCTTTTCTTGCTACACAAGAAAGGTATATTCTTTAGGGCATACAGCTCAAAGAGGGAACATTTCATTACAATTGCACCCTACATAACACACATATGGAGCAAACCCAGTTGCAAACAGCAATTACACCACCAGTTCTGGTTTAACAGAATTATTAGAGCTGAACTAAAATGCTGTTATCCCCCTTTCAGAAATGTTATTACCRAGTACTGATTACATCACCCCGAGAAGGGCAGACAGGGACTGCTGTGGACAAGCATTCAGATGATATACTGTGGAATTGTGACCTCATCATTTTCACAAGATTTCCTTGGGGGAAAAAAAATGAAAAAAGAAGAAGAAGAAAAAAAATCTACACTCAGAGAAGCACCATCATCCAAATAACTCAGCACAAGCATCATTCTCAGACGGATCTTGGAGGAATGAAATACCAACTTTGGGGGGGGAACACGCAGCCTACCTGACTCTAAGGCTGTTCATTTCTGCTGGAATGGTTCTTTTGGAGCTATTTTACACTTTTCAGCAAACTGAGACCAAGAATGATTCTTAGGTGTCTGTTGAGCACACAGCAAAACGCTCTGTGTTCTTCTGGAGCTGGGCGACCAACTGCTTCTTCTGTCACTCAAATGCAAACATCTTCGAATGCAAAGAGAGACAGCTTCCAGGTCCAAAGCAAACAGTTCTCAGGCCTGGAGCAGGGCTGGTGAGCAGCATAAGGAGCTAGAAAAATAGCTCTTGCCACCCCTCATCAAGAAGCACTTCGCTCTGCTTGCAGGAGTTGGGTGGCACTAAACATGGGCTGGGGGCTGCAGGCTGGGCCTGTTTTTTCGGACAGGTCAAGCATCTTGATGCCCCCACAGCACGGGGCAGAGATCAACAAACAAATGGTAAGAGCATGCAGCCAAGGCATGTCTTAGAAACCTGACCGTTTTCTTAAAAAGAAAACCAACA